TGAGGTCGGAAACCAGACCAACCCAAAGAAGAACCCGAATGTGTAACGAAGAGTCGGACGTTTGTGTGAGGAAGAGAACATGTGAGTAGGAGATGAGAACCTATGAGTAGTCGTGGGACTAGATGAAAATGACTGTAGAGGACAGGACAAAATGGAAGCATACTGTTGAACACCAATGTTCAACTCTGATCCCAAGGGGATAATAATATTACAACCTGATTAACTGGATACATCTCGAAACACTGGTAGTAGATGTAATACTGAATAGTTGTTACAACTGTTCTAAGTCAGTGAAAATAAATCAATTTGAGAAAGACTGGATAAAGGAAAAAGTTAACCAGAATGTTTTACATTCTGATCGCTAAAAAAACAGTATAGAAATTTATGTTCATTTTTAGATTCCTATTGAGTAAAAATTCGAATGAACCATTCATAGAAATTATTTCTGGATGCAAATGTTCGATAAGTATAACTGAATTTATAATTTTTTATTGGAATATTATGATATTTACTAACACTCATTTTCAGGTCTCAAAATTGTAGTCTCATAAATTAAGCGAAGATAGGATATAATCCACGATGATATCACAAGTTATACAGATTGGTGGATACTTCTCTTGCTTCCTTAATCCAGAGTTTACGGAGACAGACACATACGACACTTCCTTGTCAATTTAATCATTTGCTTTAGGACTAATAGGTATAATTTAATGTCTGCCTTTCAAGTAATCACATACAGTAGTAAGTCATGTTGAAAATTCTGCGAGGTTTAGGTAGCTTTCTTTTTAATGAATAACAGTCTGGTAAAAAAAATAATTAAATATCAGTAGTTTCCAGTGTAACCATTCAGCTTACATACCGTATATTTTTTAGTGGCTTGTGGCGAAATGTAGGATAGGCTTTTGAATAACATGCTAGTCTGTTACCGCTTCCACTGAAACTTGAATCTAGATTTACAGAATGTTATTGACTCGGTTACTAAGTCCCGCCAGCCACACCTTTTTAAACAGTTACTCAGTTGTTCACCGATGGAACATATGTTTTTTTATACTATTGTTGGAAAAAATATTTAACCAAGATTTCTTATTATCCATTAGAAAATTACTTTTAAAACAAGTTACACATATGTCTTCATTTGTGTAAACCAACAATGATCAAGGCTACAAATTCAGTTATGACATCAATATCAGCTATAGTTCTTCGCTTTTCGTCATGATATTTGTTAGTTAGCTAACTCATGTCAATCCTTGATCTTTTGGATGCAACCACTTGCTTGAAATAATATCTAAACTACTATCTTTTTGTTTATTTGTATGGCCAAAATAAAATTATAATATGTGTGCCTAAAGTAGGTGCAGTAGGATTATTGTTCGGAAAATTCATCCTGAACGATCCAACTACAATACTGTTACTTATTTGGGACGTTTCCACTGACTTAATTATTCTTATCCGTTTTTTTCCTCCTAGACTGTATATCATTGCCCTGAAATTAGAATGTTGACTTAATTCTTATTATTTGTCTTTGTCACAGTTTAATCTCTCATTTTAACGCTCCTATTTCTGGTCGTAAAATAAATTGATAATGTATTGTTTTATGATGGGATTTTGTTGGAGTGAATGAAGGCCATTCTAACCTTTAACAGAGTTTTAATCCCATCTTGTTGGAAATATTCTACTTGATACTAAGGTACTTCTTGCAGTTGAATTTTGGTTAATTATTTTTATTCTATAATACTTGTTTTCTACTTAGAGAATTAATTTTTCTGTTTTGCTACCTAACGGAAATGTTGAGGTAATTTTGAGATTCTAAAAATATTATTATTGTTGAATAATAGAACCGCACAAAGATTCCAACAATGAATAATCATCTTTGGAGCATTTTGTGACTGTGCATATCTCAAGGAAGTTTTGTCAACTATACAGTAGGGTGCAAAGATAAGTTTCCTGAGTTCAGATTACAACAACATGCCTTTGATCGTTGCAGTGGGGTTCATACATATTATGCGGGATATCATCCAAATAGTAGTTATCTATCATGTCAAATCGAGAATCGGGAAGGCGAAAAACACATTTATCAACCTAAAACCAATCTGGAAATCTTCGTCACTGAACATCAACAACAAAATTCAGTCAGATTTTGAATACAAACGTCAAGTCAGTCAGTTCTTCTATATGGATCAGAAACTTGGCGGGCGGGTCACAAAGAATATTCCCAACAGCCTGTTGCAGACCTTACCTTTATCAACAACTGTCTTTTCTCTATACTGAAAATCAGATGGCCGGGCTGGAAAGAATTGCCAACAAGAAACTATGGGAACAAACAAAACAAGAACCAATCGCCAGCCAACAAATATGCAGGAGAAAGTGGTGATGGATTGGACACTCGTTGAGGAGGCCGGTTGGTGACATTGCGCGTCAGGCCAGTGCTCAGGTGGAACCCGAAAGGGAAGCGGCGAGTGGGACGTCGGTGTAAGGGTGACATGGAGGAGATCGTGTGAAGAGGAGTTGAAACAGTTTGGACTAGCTAACATGGATGCAGGTGAAAAGTACAGCAGAAGGAAGACAGAAGCAAGTGGAGACGTGTAATTGAAGCCCTATGTTCCACTAGGAACCCAAGGGAACAACAATAATGATATCATGATACTCATAAAACGTATTAACCAATTTTAATTTACCGTTGCAAGCACATGTGTAGACAGATATGAATCCCAAACAGAACATAAATCTTAAGCTGTCTTAAAATCTCTGAATAAAGTTTCCAATCAGAACTGAAGGATAATTCTGCACATTTTGGACACTAATACCATTCATCAGCAAAAAAAATTGGCAACAGGATATTTAATTGCGATAACTGGTGAATGTTGTGTAAAACATTAAAATACAGCTTAAGCACAATAATAAGGTTTAAAGTACAGTGTCATAAACAACTCATTAGCATATTTGTCTTAAAGGCAGTAACAATGAAAGTGGGTTACCAGTGGAACATAAGACTTCAGAAGCACACACCCCCCATTCAACTCTGCTCTCCAGAATCCATTTAAGCGGACTGTAAAATTGCTTATATGCTTTCATTTCCTCCACTTCCCATTTCGGTTCCATTTAAGGGCGTGGTGATTGATGTCACTCACAGCACAGAATATGCATCAGAAACTATTCATTGGTATGAAGGATTTATTGTCATGTGCTAGAGCATTTGTCATGAGAAATTTAAACATTTAATTTGCAATATATATATATATATATATATATATTCTCATTTATGTATTAACTTTGTCTTAATTCTAACAATTGTATACTATCTCCCTTCAGTTATTTCGATGCAAACCAATTATTAATGCTATAAAATGTGAATTTACTCATAAGATGTGTCATTTTTTTATACCAGAAATAGTTCTACCTCATTTTGTTAGACCTCTTTCAACTACATCATAGCTGTAACTGGTCTTCTTCACAAATTAATATTTAACTGAAGAAGGATAACAGAAGTAATCCAATGGTGTAATTCATGTTGTTAATTCACTCAAAATATGTAGGATTGTGAGTGAACTATTGTTTGGACAACGGACATGCGTTGGTAGCTCAGTGGCAGAGTGCGCGCCACTCACAAAGTGCGTGGTCAGGGATTCGATTTTTTTTTTTTTTTTTTTTGATTTACAGCTTGATTCCACACTGTATTTTTGGTACAAGTATGGAATTTTCAGCATGGATATCGGTAGCCCAAATTTTGCAGGCCGACCATAGATATCAGATGTGCGTGTGTGTGTGTGTGTGTGCGTGCATTTCAGGCTAAAGCACTCCTAAACGTCGCCTACTCCATTAAGTCAGTAGTAATCCTTGGAAAGATGGAATAGTGGGGATGCAACTAGCAATCTCAACCCATAAAAATAGCATCAACAATTCTGAAACTTCAAAAGTTTGAAGCTCTATGTTCTACTCGGAACGTGAAGAAAGTGTAACAAAAGTTATTGAAGGTAATTACTGTTATGTCTGAATAGTCTAGCAAGGTGTCTTATACCATCACCCAAAGCAAGAATGCAGCAGGTAATAGTGACTGCTAATCGATATCTTCATGAATATCAGATAAGTTTCCTAGTGCGATTGCGCATCATGAATTTTACATTTTCATGTAAGCTGTTATTTCCCCTAGAGTATAGAAAAACTAAACATTTGTTTTCAATTTTTACATCTACAGAATATGAATAGCTCGGCATAATTTTAATTTCAACAACTTGTTGTAATCGCTTCTTTTTCTATTCATGGATTCTGTTAATCCCAACTACTTCATTAATATGTTACACGTAATCTGCACTGAAATCTCTTAATGTTATGCTCATTTGTACATTACAACTCTGATAAGTCTACTTACGAAGATCAATAGTCAATCAATCACTTGAAAATTGACTAATGGTTGTTTAAGTCTTTAAGTGTACTGAATATATATTAGGTCTTTTTGAGCGGAAAATTCAAAATAAAAAGCTATTAACCTTGACATAGGTATATTGTAAAAAAGCAAAATAAAATCATATGAAGATAAGTGTGAGCTGCTTGCATAACCAACAATGACAATAACGTAAAATTTAGTCATTGAATGATTATGGTGTAGTATATATTGTTAATACAGCTAGGAAGAAAGCAAATACAATAATGATTTATAAAGATCTTTGATATTTTTGAAATCTTCGTTGTTGTATTTCTGTAAGAGCTCTTACATTGATAAGCATAAATAAATTGTATTGGTTTGTAGAAGTGTATGTATGTGTGTGTGTGTGTGTGTGTAAGAGAGTGAGTGGGTGCGTGAGTGTGTGCGTGCGTGTATTTCATCTTGCTAAAATCAACTAAAATGAAGTGAATTCAAAATGATAGATAATAAATTGAAGGGATGGAAAATAAACAATAAAAAATTTGTGAAACTGAGGAAAATGATGAAATGCACATCTTTATTAGCTTTACTGTCAGTACCAGGATTAATAATATTGATAATTATAAGAATAATAACGTTATTAACCCATATTTAATGCACCAGCACCTTGACCGAAACCAAAACCTTTTGGTCCAAAACTCTTTCCATAACAGGCTGAAAAGGTAAGTAAATATAATAGAAATATTCATAGTGCATTTTTACAGTATCATATGTCTTAAACTCACTGAACAATGAATTATGAACATTTTATAGGCACCTTAATCTGTGTTATATTGCAAAACGACTGCAGACAATCAAATCTGTTCTCTTCAGTCTTTCTGTAGCTGGCTCCACTATTGTCAAGAATCTTACATTTCCTGATCACACTATCCTCTGCATGTCACCTTCACACCCATGGACAACTCGTCGTTTTTCATTTGGGCTCCTCTCGAATATCTCCCTCGCTCATGATGTCACTCAAGTGCTTTCTCAGCTTGTAAATATATATAACTGATTGGGGGTGGATTTGACACAAGTCATTTAATTCTTTTAAATGTGTCAGAAACTTGGCGTATCATGAAATGCATTTCTAATAGGCCAATGCAAATTTTTATCATCAGTTGCCTTCACTGTCTCCATACTGAAGATTGTATGGCCGACGAGAAAGGATTATCAAAAAAAGCTCTTGAAACCAACCAATCAAGAACTTATTGCTCAACAAATATGTCGAAGGAAATGAAGGAACCTTTCAATGACATGGCACGTCAGACAGGTCCTAGAGTGGAGCCCGAATGGGAAACTACGACTTGCGAGTACAAGGATGATATGGAGGAGACCGTGTTAGGGAGAAGGTGAGATTCTATAGGCAATAGCGGAGCCACCTACAGAGGACTGCAAAGAAAAGGGTGTAGTGGAGATGTGTTGTTGAAGCCGTTTGTTCCACTCGGAACCAAAGGGAATAATAATCTACCGACTTAATGTAACTTTGAGTCCTTAGGATAACTGTATTAATCCCGCAGACTTTCACAACAAGACGAAAGACACTGGAGTTTTTTTTATTCATATTTAGTCTCATACAAGAATATTCAAGTATATCAGTCAGTCAATATAGACTAATGATAGTCGTATTAAGATCTTTGACAGCAAGTATGAATAACATCAACTAAATTCTATGTAGCAGCTTTAAAGTTCACCTTTTTCCATATGTGCCAAATGGAGTAATTCCTCAAATCAAGCTGGATATCATTGCAAATTATTTCAAACCAAACAGTGGAAGCCTTAGTTGGGATTTAGATTAATAGGATTTCTGTTTTAAGGAAAGAGATATTATGTAATCTTCACTAGGTTTAGATTATATTTTATCATGATTAACTGATAAGAAATGAATAAAATGGAATCGGTAGGATAAAACCGACATTTAACACAACAGTTTTTTTAATCAGATGATAGTTTACTGCCCAACTCAAACCATTATAAGATGGAGCGATACTAAACCAAACTGAATTATTGACGTGCAACTCTGTACAAAAGAGTATCAGTTGAAATGGCTACACTTCAGTAAAACACACAAAGGTAGAGGAAAGAAGCTACTATTGATGAAAATTCACAGGAAAGAAGAATAATTAGTTTCACAACAATGAGGATTTCCAGAATCTGGAAGACTTATTTTGCATCCCTTCGTTTTCTGAGTGGGACACAAGACACCACGCTTTAAAGTGGTGTATTTTTACGGAGTGAGACTGTTAGTTTTATGTCTAACCTTCTGTCGTTTCTGAACTTACTATCACCTATACAAAGTCTAGGAAGTTGTAGTCAGGGAATTGAGCCCGAATCTCGCACATAGCTGGCAATCATTCTTGAAGTTTACAAGAAATCATTGCATCTGACCTACTAGGAAGGATTTTGTGCAAATAACTAAGTAAATTAGTTTATTTCGCTCTACAAATCTTGCTGAAATGTATTTCTAACGCGTACAGGCGCAAAATGTAACCAAATCACTTTAAAGTGGTTCTTGATGAAATCTTTTAACTAGAGTTTTAGGAATGGAATAATTAATATTAAGGCTACTTATGTAAGCTTTAATGCTTCCGGAGTTTCTTTGAGCAGAGTACTTGTCATGTATATGCTAACTATTATATTTAATATCTAGTGAACAAAGGGTGAAAGTAAAAACGATGAAACCATATCACCTACATAAGACTTAAATATCATTAAGATTCTTTGAAAATTATTACCTTTGCAGTAAACCTCCTTTTCTTCTTTTTGTGTACATAAATTAGTTGAATCAAGTGATTTTCCACAAGTTTTGCATCGGAAACATGCTTTATGGAAGTTGAGCTGATTTTAAGAGAGACAGATAGGTTGAACAAAACAGATGATATAATTAATCAAAATTGTAAGAAAATAAAATGGTATTACAATAAACAAAAATAATTGTGGCAAAGCAGATAATTGAATGGAGTTTAGTGAAAACTTTAAGTATTTCGAAGATAAAAAAATATGGAACACATTCAAATTATTGTAAGCGATTTGGGACGATATCGTAATTAATCTCTAACTGTTTGTTTTTAGCACTTCAAGGACCTAATCTAGTCAGACCATGCTAACCTATAGAGCTCAAAGTCAATAGTGAGTGACTTTTTCTATTGATATCGTGTTTTGATGTCACAACCTCTTTCGGTTTTCCAAACTGTTGCTAATTCATCTTACTTTGGCATACGTAACACATACCCTAGTCGCCTCGACCTGTCAAATAGGACAAAGTGCGTATTCTGGATTTCCCTGCTAATCATCGTCAACCAACTATATCCAAACATGTCCCTGTCAATTTCTATGACACTGATGTTGACAAAGGCCACTTTTATCAATACATCTATAATAAAGTTGAGTAAAAAGGATGACAGTGAATACCACACATGAACACTAATCAATGCCGTGACTTCAAACAAAAAGTCTCTATAGGCTTTTACACGGCTAAATGATTTCTATTAGAGCATCTTGATTAGCATAATGTACTTTTGGGCATTCACTTCATGATCAAATATTACCGCAGTATCTCTAGGTCGACAGGGTGAAACACTACTTCAAAGTACAGAAAGATGACAAGTATAGGATATCAGTAAGTCTACTTGTGTTATACATCCCGTTAAAGAGTAAAGCTTTGATCAAGGCACCTTCGTCCTTGCTTGTAAGCTACCTGCAATGATGTTTGTTTTTTTCAGTCTGAGGTCAATGAAGCGTAGGATCCGAGATGCTACATTAGTCAAGATGATCATCCAGTGATAACCACAGCAATCCATCCCCACTACTTTGAAAGAACTATGGAGTAATACTGTCAGGTTTTGTTGCTTCGTCTCATGGCAGATGTGAGAAACTTGACACAACCTTGGCTATGGTTGTAAGACCGATCTCTATGGCTTATCTAGCCTAAGCTTAAATTATGAGCGACTGTAGTTCAAATGTATTCCGAAAGAACTGCTCCTCAGTGTTTTGCACAACTATCCGACCATCTCTCCTGATAAGTTCTTAAATGTCCATCCTGAAGAAGGACGATTTCTCTCACATTAATATTTTTGAACCAATTTCCTTAGTAGAGTGAAGTATTTGACGAACACCACGTACTGCTAACGCCTGTTCTATTTTTTCACCTTTTTCATCTACAATTGCTTGAAATTAATTAAGAAGACTTTAAGTCAGCTTACGACTGAGAGGCATTAGCTTCTCATCATATTTGAAGCATATGAGAAGGTATATTTTTCCATCAATGAGTTCACATGAAACTCATTAGATATTTACTAATTTTTAGCAGGTGATTGTTTTCTGTTTTGATCGGAAACCAGTCAGTAACTAGTGTAATGTGCCTAGTCCTATGTTCGATGCATACTGAATTCTATCAGTCACGTTCGTAGATACGCCTTGCTGACGAGTGCCAACTAGCACGAAACCTAGGTCCAAGGATTTCTGCCGATTGCCTCCAACCATGTGGTTCTATTCTCTTTTGACTGTTGTTTCTCCACCAGAATGGATATTAAATCAGGCTTCTGTAGAATGACTGTTGCTGATCTTTCGTTTAAAGACATACATTTACATGAATTAAGCCATAATCTGAGTTGACATATATTTCTGAAGAGATGGAAATATATCACCGATTTCCTTCATCGATAACGTGTAGTGAATTGATAGAGTTTTGTCGGTGATTACCAGGGGACACAATGTTTTTCGTGTTACTGGTGTCTTACTGATATCTAAAAGTCGGTGATTATCTGGACAAAAATGTAAAACATGAGCACTCTTATCAGTTTATGGGCATGGTAATTTATAAATACCTGCTAATATGTTTATTCAAGTGGCTTAGCTTCTTTAGTTCAGCATTAACAATTTTAGCTAATATATAAGCTATTTTCCAAATGCAGCATACTTGACACTATACATAAATCATCTTTTACTTACTTTAACGTGCGATCAGTGAGTGAATGAGTGAGTAGGAATTATGGAAGGTTATCTACGAGTATAACAATCTTTCCATTCACCTGAATAGTATGTAGGAAACTCCCCACCCGGATGAAGCTGAGTAGCCAGTTTTCAGACACGAAGCCTAATTCTATCCTTTTGTTAGCTAAGCTTTGAAAGCAAAGACATGAACTTGTTGGTATGGTGTTAAGAAACTCGGATTATAACATTACTCATCAAATTCCTCAACTGCCTAATTAAATTGGCATAACTAGACGTAGTTCTTCATATTTCGTCAACCTGTTCACCCTAAGCGTAAATTATTTAAACTATAAAACACCACTAAGCAGTGGCAAATGTAATTGGGCGAACATAAAGAGTAGCGACCACGGATTGCGACTCATTAATGACCTTGAACATACGCCATTCGTTGGATTACAGAAACTACCATGCATTTTGCAGCGAAAAGCTGTTTATTTATGAGGGAAATTAACATAATAATAACAATAATAAAATACATTAAAGAAGATATTTCACCCTTAGATGACTGAAACATACTTCCCAATTACAATGAAGATTATAATTTTTCAAGTTTTATAGCTGTCAAAACGGTTCCATCTGTATGAACACTGAAACACTCTCTCATTTATTCGTTTATAAGAAAAATACGGATAATAGTAATAAAACACTCCAACCCTGATACTTATTTTAACCCAAACCCTAAACACAACTCTAATACTAATCCTAACCTTAAAGTTCTATCCATGCAGGAGATCAGGATGAAATTCGCACATCAGATCGTGCACAGTGTTCATATTTGCGCTGCAATAACAGTAGGTTCTGTAATCCGATGAATGGTATGCCTTCACGGTCGCTGGTGCGTTCGCACCCAGTAGTTACGATTCTTTAGATTGTCCTGTTAGGTTGCCCTATAATTGTTTTGAATGTACATAACTTCATTTCCTGGAATCTACAGTTGAAAATTTTTAAATAATTCAGCAGAAAATACATGCGCAAATCTCTCAGTGATTGTTAGTATTATTGCTACAAGTAATGCAAACATTTATTTTAAACATGTTAACAAATTAAGATTCATGTAATGATTTCTGAAGTAAAACTACACGGATGACTTACACCACTTGGGCATCCAATAGCTTTTTCAGCATCATATACTCGTTTACCACAACGTGGACAACCACCTTCCTCCGGAGGTATAATTTTACCACCCATTGCAGGAGCTGTTGGTTTATTACTTGATTAATAATTTTAAAGTAAATAAAACAGAATTTTAATATTAAGTAATGAAAAGAAATATAATGTTAACGAATTGCTTATATCTGTTTCTCGTTATATAAGTGAATAAAGTTTCTCCTCTGTGACAATAAATGTTCAAACAAAAATGGGAGGAAGCTTATTTGAGATAGACGACACTTGTTTCGTTGATGTAGAGTAGTTCATTTTGAGGATTTTACGTCATATATTACTGATTGATTTTTATGAGCAGTTTAATACCACTCATACCAACTAGTAGTACTTGTCAGACAGATTGAAGTGAATTCAACACCTGATGGTCGGTCTGCTCATCCAAAACTATTCACAGCATCAAGTAAATTACATACTGTGATATGTACAATTTTGGTTTCTGATAAGGAAATTGGTGAAATTTCACCTTGAAAATCACGAATTCGATTAAAGAATTTCATGTTCAACTTGTTCTATCAGCTGAACTTATGAAATATGTCGAAATATTCAATGCTTAACTAGACTGTCGACTCGGAAAAGTTGCCGAAATGAAAATAGTCCCTATCTGGTGAATTACAGAGTCGAAATTTTGATTTTTTTTAGTGTGAAATTTTCAATTATAATTAGCGCTGACAATGATGCTAAAGTTGGATGGCTTACGCAATGGGTAAAACAAAATAAGGCTTGGTCTTTCAAGCAGTAATGAACTTATCTGGATCCCTTGATAATTAGTTATTCTTGTGTTTAAGAAATATAAAGAATAGACAATATGTATCTTAAACTGAAAGTAACTAAGGGGTTGTCAAAACTCAGAGAATACTAATCATCTGTTTGATCTTCTGGAACGTGAATGTGTGTGGAATTAAAGCTTCGATTGTAATAATAGACAGAATTTTCTTAGTAATATCAGATACCAGCTGACTGCTTGTATCTTTTTGATATGTATCCATTTATATATTTATGTGTGTGTGTATGTTGGTCTCTCTTTCTGTTTGCTCGCTTAGTCTTTGACCATTTCACTTGTATGAACCTGTCTCCTTTAACAATGTATATTCTCCTTATATTATATTATATATGAGTGTTTGTTGACAGTCCGTTGCTTGGTGACATATATCCATATTATGTGTGGTTGTTGACATGTCTGTTATATTTCGCTATGTATATTTGGATCGACACTTCATTATAATTAGCCATTCATGTTAAGACTGTCTAATGATTTGTCCCACGCTTTGTCTGGAACATTCATATATATATTTCGCATACACAATCTTGTGACTTTACTTTACTTACTTACCACTTTGGTATGAGACCATTTATTTTCGTCTCCTTGTGTTTGGACAATAGAAGTATCATCGCAAACCTAGTGGTCTTCTAATTTCCGCCTTCTTGCGTCGGGACTATTAGTTTCTCGACCAGTCCATAACAATAAATTAGCGACGAGTACATAACACTTTTTATTATTATTGGCTGTTGCAATCTATACATGATTCGTGTATGCAAATGATATTATTTGGTGGTGGTGGTGGTTGGAGGGGTGGGGGAAGAATTCACTTCGCTGAAATCTTCGTTCCACTTTTGTTAGAGACCGATGTCCGTCTGAGATATGAATGTTATTATTCCCTTGAGTTCTGAGTGGGACATAAGACTTTAGCAGTTCATCTCCATTTCATCCTGTTTACTACAGTCCTCTTTAGCTAGGTTCACAATTGTCTGTAAGCTTTCACCCGCTTCTCACACAATCTCCTCTACATCATTCTCAGACACTAAACTCACCGTTTTCCATCAGGTTCTCACTCTAGGGCTGGCCTGGTGTGCGATATCAACCAAAGGTCTCCTCAGCGTGAGTTCGGTCCACCCCTGTTTTCTTCAGTATATTTGTTGACCAATAGGTTCCATATTAGTCTGTTTATTGGATATATCACACAGTGAGTGAAACAGTATTATTTACTGGATGACGTTTCAAATATAATTTATTGTGGTTCATAATCATATCAATTGTAATCACACATGTAATAGGAATGATTCAACACCTGTCCCAGATATCTGGAAAATTTTACTACCCCTACGACAAATAAGAGAAGACAAAGAAAGCCATAAAACTCAAAGCCGTGTGATTACAATTGATATGATTATGAACCACAATAAATTATATTTGAAAAGTTATCCAGTAAATAATACTGTTTCACTCACTGTATGATATATCTAATAGACAAACTAATATGGAGTTACTTACTACCACAGTGCCCAAGTTTTACGCATATATTAATGTGACCAATGGGTTGTTAGTTCTCAGAGTTTTCTGTTACTCATCATTTCTGATCACCTCATCTATGTTATCAAGAAATTTATTTGCACATTTCTTAATTAATATGACGGACAAGTAAAGCTGTTGTATTAGTGTTATAAGAAAACCATACTGCCACTATTACTTAGTCGTTTTAAATCAACTAGTTATCTGAGAACTTTTAGAGTTCAGATCACTTCATAAGAAAAATTTCAAGTAGAAGAACACAATTTCTCCTTCTCATTTATAATTAATATCGGCTAACAAGCATTTGGTATAACAAGTTATTTCATGATTAGTGAACGTAAGTGCTTCCTCCCTTTTATTTGTTATATAATTATCTACACACCCGCCAAACTTGATTTCTCTGTGATTTTAAGTTTGCGTAGAAATCAGACTGATTTTCCGTGGTAGTATCGCTAGCCTCCAGCCCAACCTTCCCTATTCTGCTGGGCATACGACCGTCTAGTAAACTTTCAAGGTTCATATCCTAGGGCAGTCGAATATTATATTGACGAAATAAAAGCTAAATACTTCTAAACCTGAAGAACTATAGGAAAAGTTTTGTCATTCACATTATAAGTTAATTGCCTTTCTCTATGATTCGCTAAATACAACGTTTACGCTATAAAGAGTATAAAGAGATTATTTCTGCTTCTCTTATGAGGAAGCTTTTATATCAAACTGTTAGTTGTCACAGTCAGCTAACTATACTTGATTGAAAGACGAGTGTACACTAATTTGACTAGAAATAAGTGTGATCAATAGTTTACTACATGGTATGTCAATTTACAGTATAACAGAGGTTTAGACTTCTGTTCACTCGTATGTGTTATTTCCACAGGGCTACACTTTAGAGTGTAGTCTAGAAATACAGTAATAAGTACTTTCCTAGGACCAGCTGAAATATATAAAAGCTACAGTGTTAAATAAAGAAACCTACCTCATTTCGGTTTCCTTATTACCAACATGACTTCCACTGTCCATATTCAAGGCACCAGAACCTCCACCGAATCCATAGCCTTTTGGACCAAATTTACGACCATGACATTGCTTGCAGAAAACTTCTCCTTCATGTTCAGCGACAGTAGTACTGTCAAGCATCTTATTACACAAACCTACGAATGTTTTTAAAACATAATTTATAGGCATCTTAGTAATAGCTAAGAGTAGCAGAAATTAATTAATAAAATACAAAGCAATACTCCCTCGACTTGATGACTTAATTAGGCAGCTTTCATTGTCCCTCTAGACAATATCTTCTGCGATAACTTCAAATTGAAAGTCAAAGCACAATATGGCACCAAATAAATACAGCGAAAATTCATCTTTTGCTCGAACTTTGCTGAAGTTTATAAAATCCTTTTAGGAGGGATCATAAGTTTCGCGTTTTTAAAAATCTTCAGGTAATAATAAACAAAATCTGTTTTTAAAAGTAGATTCCATAAATTTGTTTAACTAAGTACTAGTAATACAGCATTAACAGTTATTTCTCCTAAAAACATCTTTATAATCGATCTTGATTATATGAAAAGTATCGCACTGTTTGTAATGACTAACTACTGTGGTGAGAGCTGTCTGCTAGCCGAAACTGGCTGACAGTAATTTACATCAATATTTACGTCCCAAATCTTGGTCATGAGAAAAAACAAAAAACAAAGCCTGACCTTAAGGAACTCAACAACCAATCATTGCAGACTTAGCGTAGGAGGATACGATTAGCAGATATATCAACGGACTGTCCAAAAAGCGGCCACAAAGAGATGACAGAATAACCTCAAGCAGGAAAACAACCAATCAGAAGACTTTACCTCTCTGCTAACAATAACGAATAATAATATACATAAAAATCTATGAATATCTGTTGATTTCTCAATAAATGATCTGTTGCCTGGCAGTTGTCTCCTATCGTTACGTTACTTTATATAAAGCAGAAGTGTACGTATTCCCAGCTAAACATTCAAATGGTGGCAGAGAGAAAAATTAACTAATTGACAGTTACTTTGCTTATCTGGTATTTTATTCGTCAACTGACAAATTAAACTGTCTATGAATGAGACTGTATGAAAGAAAATTTCAATTTTCCTCTAAACAGCAATTACTTTTAAAGCAAAATACTACATCCTTTATTCTATAGGATTTTAAAATTTCTATGGTAATATGTTCTTCATATCGATGTTAAGTGAATAAAAAGGGCTATGCAACCATGGTGAGAAAAAGCATCAGTGAATAGATTTGTAATTGCTGCGACTACTGTTTCCTAGGGTAATACTGGTTTATCAGGTGTCTTATCTCATGAAATACATCAAGGGACTGGCTCCTTCAAATGTGGGGACCCACTGATGCATTTAGTAAGCCAAATGAGAAGTAATTTGGAATTGCTTTAGAAAATTGATTAAATTAGTTCATCAATGCAGAAGTTGATATATACAAAGAAGTGAAGCTTACATTTGACTAAAGTCAAAAAATGAAACCTATTTCTGTAAAGTTTCCGTAAAACAGCCCGCTCACCCTAAATTTGTTTTAGTTGTCATTACAGCAAACATGCATAACCAAATTTGTATTATCTTCTTAGTCATACTTAGTCGTACATTAAGTGTGTGGGCATAAGTGACATGACATACCACACATTAAACTACTCAAAGAGGTATGCTCTCATTTTATTTTCTATAGGTGGTTTGTAAGGATTAGTTTTGCTTTTTACGAGTTAATAACGATTGATATCAGTTAGAGAACAATTGAAAAGCAGAGAGTACTGGAATACTGGTTCGAACCCCAGTGGGTGCGTACTGCCGATGATTCCCAAACTAGGATGAAACAACTGTTTAGTACTCCCTGGTTTTCAATGGTTCTCTAACTGATATCAATCTGTTATCATATCATTTTATTGGCTCACATTTCAGTTTCAGTAAGGGAATGACCAGCCCTAGCGTTTACCTGAATCTTATATATATATATATATATATATATACGCACTACTAATGAAACTTAAAATTCTTCTGAGGTTAGATAGCTACCAGTGTAAATGTAAAGTATCTCGGTTTGTCTCTAAATTCTCCCTTCTTGCTATAAAGCCCTAATAAGACCCACAATGACAGTGACTTCACTATGTAATATGAAGTTAATAGAAAATATAGAGCAGGACTGAGAGAACATTTCATAAATTCCTTCATTGAAATATTGTTTTTATTGAGTTCCATTGAAAATGGAATGCCTTTTATCGTATTAACTACAATGAACTAGTGAGAAAATGCAAGAGTTGTAAGTCATTGTGAACAAATCTAAGAGGACAACATAACTCTACAAATATTCACCAACAGATTGCTACAAATGAAAAGTAAAGGCTTGGGAATTACTATACTAACTAAATGCATGTATTCATCTAGTTAACGTTTAAAGGTGATGACAATGAAGGGAAAACCTACAAATAAATGCCATGTTTTTGCGGTCAAAGTAATTCTCGCTTAGCGGATAAGTGTGTTTATTGGGTCAATTAAAATTCAAAAGGTATACTTCTCAAGTTATCACTAGAGTCGTAAATAAAATCAAGCATGGCTATCATAATAATTACATTTGAAGAACAGATGGTATATCTTTGAGTTTTTGAACATACACCAGAAAGCCTACCATTAAGAGGAAGTATTACTTTGAACATGGCTTCCAAATGACACAAGAAATATAAAATGGACATCTTGGATTCTTCCAGACAGACAGGTCATTAGGTGATCTTAAAGGTGGTCATTATAAAAATGCTAAAACCCATCAATGTCTGTAGAATGCTGGTGCATTTTGGAATAGATCACATTAGTTATACTTATATTTTAATAGTTTTCTACACACTGTGATAAGTGATTTTGGCAATTTTGACACGAATATTACCAAAATAAAAAATGTATCACTGTGTGTAAACAACTATTGAAATATGAATATAATTAACTTTGCTAAAGCGCATCTGATGTGTTCAGAACAAGCTGAAGCAAATTCCTCTCTAAACCGTTTACTTTGATCCCCACTTTTTACTGATCATATCATCTTTTTTAATGTAAAATGACTGGTTTCCACAACCTCTTAAATAATTACATCAAAATTTATTAATCCCAATGTTCTAACGGGGAATCCAACTAAATGAGTTGAATTCACTACATTTTGCATGTTTTACTTAGCAACACTGTTCAGTAACTTGTGTTATCACTATACTTTTACCCCTTCAACATCTTGTTACTTCCCGTGCCTTTTATTTCCAGGACCTTTTTATCATCACACGTACAAGTGTAACATTTCGCTCAACTTTACTGACTTTTTTGGACTTATTAACAGGCTTCAGTTATTTTGATTGGACAGTAGTAACTGGTTTGATGTGTCTAGTCCTTTCTTTGGTACATTTTGAATTTTATCAGTCAGGTTTGCAAAGTGATCACCATTCTAGGCAGCTCACCATCACGACGCGCAGTAATTTGATGATATTAGATGGTAACGTCTCTGACTGCAGCACTGGGCGACGCGGGTTTGAATCTCAGAATGGACATTAGTTCCTTCAAGGTTGTAGGTACGACTTGCTGACGAGTGCCAACTGTCACGAAACCTAGGTCCAAGGCTTCTTGCCGATCGCTTCCAACCGTCTAATATCATCAAAACTATAGTTAATTACTGCTCTCATTTTTTTCAACTAACTGAAATATGTTTAACTCGCAATATAAATATTTACTTTGATTACCCAAGTTTCTGGCGAATGGAAAAAATCTTTTTCATGTCTCTAAATTGTTACTGTCACTCTATCTTTTTGAGTTGATGAAAGGTAATCTGTGCATGAAATTTTTGGAATCGATCAAAATGCCCATTAGAAATCTCAAAAAACTTATTATGAACAAATAACATTCTTTTCGATAACCCTTTCTTCATCAGGTTCTACAGTTAGTTATATATCCATCCATAATAATGAAAGAATTAGGGTTATTAGCAAGATTAAGGTTGAAATAACATCGAATCAATAATAATATCAATGGATTACAGTTTAACAACATCTGTAGGCGCGATAATATGCATCAACATAACACTACACTGAATGTCAGACAGATTAGGTTAACAATTATACAGAATTCATGAATTTATAGGCTCGATAGAAGGCCAGTAAGGTAGCAGTGGTTGGACCTGTTTCTTCTGCATATAAAACACCTGCTGTTTTAGGCAGATTGCAATAGCCTCTATTATTTGGAATATTCGGTACCTGAATACTCTTAGTAGTTTACTAGGTACTCGACAGATGATGGAGAAGGATGCTTTAAGGCTAACTTTATGGCCAGTTTAGACCAAGTGGTCTAATATTGAGCTGATGAGGAATATTTTGAAATCTGGATGACTATTGTAGCTTTCATTCTTAGTGTTCGTTTCTTCGCTCAGCAAATGTGCAATCTATTTGACTTTTTAAGACTAATTAGGTTTCAGTTAGATAAATTTTTTTCACATATGCCTAAGTTTGGGATTTTCAGGCTCTTAGTCATTATTTCGAACTATGACTTTACATGTTTTTATCCAATTAATGAGATTCTTTAATGAATATCAAAGTGGTGTCAGGAGCAACATTTCTTCAATATTTCGGCTTATATGAACATCTGTCAATGTTCTATCGAATATTACTTCAGCAGTTATTAGGTTAATAGTGACTAGCAGCGATATCAAGATATGCTTTTTGTTCCATTTGTAACCAGTCACCTGGATGTACCTGGAATCCCGTTGACTGATGATGTTCACATTGGGACTGGTACCTAGAACCAGTCAATCCAAAGGCCAAATGGTTATCTAAAACACTTTGAGTCTTTATGGGAACACCACTAATCACTGGTAATACAGGTGTATGCGGATGACGAGTGACGAATAGGATGAAGTGCGCATCCTAGATTCCTCTGTAATTCACCATTAACTCAAATTTATCCTTCATATATCATCGAAGCGTGTATACTGAGAGCAGATATATCAAGAGAGACTGAGTATTTTGGTTGAATGAAAGTCAATCAACCGGAAATTCAAGGCAACTTAAACAAACAAGTGCTTGCGTCGTTTGATCTGTCTCACCAACTATAATTTTGGTTTGGCGTTAACCTAACCTCTTATTAATAGTTCAGAAAAATGCATGGGCTAATAGTCTAAATTTTGTTTCCTGTAGCACAGATATCGTTCTTTTACACCTAAAATGCGAATTTATTAAGAAGGGTTATTTTACGCGTTAGAAATCAAATCACATAAGTAAGCTCTATAAAAATATTTACACAAGACAAATGAAAAGATTAGAAGTTAAACATACAACACTCAATGATCTACTTACCGCATTTCAAGCACATACTATGCCATGCTTTACCACCAGCAATTTTTTTCTCTGCAGCGTAGACAGCCTTTTGGCATTTAGGACAAATTTCTGAGGGCATATTGAACAAGTCTCTTTAGAATATATCTAAATAGAATTGAATGCTTTCTTGAGATTGCTACGGCTCAATAAACACTTTTGAATTCAGTTCACAAAATATTTAACTTTATAGGACTGAATTCCAACGTATCCGCTTACAATTTTCCAATTAAATCAAGCTTTAACTCTATCTAATAATTCCTAAATTTATATATTGTTCAGTGTCTGATTACCTGTCGTATGTCTATAGATTAGAGTAGAAAAGAGGGAAAATAGTGTAGGATAGAGGGATGAAGAGGTTGAATAATGCACACAATGTGGGATGCTTTCTTAAATTTTGTATCGAATCGATGGGTGTGTGTGTATTAAAGTATGCAAATATTTTTTGGTCACTGGTATCATTTTGTGGGTAGTCAGTACATAAAGTTTAACAGACAGACTGCACAATTGTGCAGTGCGGAATCAAGGTGTCTGCACCAAATGTCTATCTAACTAAATCACATCTTATATATGTGTGTTACAATCGAAAGTGAATAATAAAACTGAAGTAGTAGTGTAATCTTTTTAATTTTGATTGGTAGACCTGTCCATAAAAATCAACGCCGCGCATGTCGAATTGTAAATGTTATGGCCAGATATGTCTCTTGCAATCAGTAGCATTTCTTATGTGATGGTAAATGTGCAGAAATATCATCTTTAGATGATGATTTAATGTATAAGAGAATGTACAGTGTAGGTCATAAACTATTGTCAACGTCATTAGACCAAACAGCTGTATCCTTTTAGATAATTATACAATACATGATGAAGGAATGTGGTGTTAAATAACGTAGGCTGCATAATTCAAGTCATTATTTAACAATGCCACTCTAAAATAATGTTTGCTTATGTATTCTCAGGTTATAACATATAAGAACTGAAGGTGATTCTCAAGAATAAAATGTCATGAAACTCGACAGAATAGTTAATCAATATAAAAGAACTGGAATATTGCTGCTTTTTTAGCTCTTTTTTTCAGGGCATAATGAATATCTCATAGGACTCGATTAGTAGGTGGTTCTGTTTAAAAAATTCCCAGAATGTCAGACTAATTACCTGGAATCTACTCGCTCGAGTTCTATCCTTACTTTTCTTAGCATCTACACTTCGACCACCAAGCAGTTACGTCGATATTAGCTTGAAAAAGCCAAACTGATTTCGATAACATCAATAAACAATTTTCGTGGCACTGTTTCTCGAAATTTCTTATCATTCTGGTTGACTTATTCAGTTAAGAACTTAGTGGACGTATCAATTAAAAATCTGTAAGTTAGAATTCATAGGCTATTGAGTTCGGTTCTACTAGCTGAATGTTCTACAAGATTGTATTGTAATCCGAATGTCCGGGCTTCGAACCTTAGTTGGTTCATACTGATGATGAGTCCCAGGCATTAGAACAAAACATTTGTCCAGTAGTCCCTGGTTTTCAGTCGTTCTCTAACTGATATCAATTCATGTTCAGACTTGGAGCTATTTTAAGTTATAGTATCTACTTAAAAATCAGATCTTTAGTGAAATTTATATCATATCCTTTGGTTTTAAGTGATCATTATTACTGAGTGGATAAATGACTACAAACTTATAGTTTGTCTGTTTTTTGAAGGATTTCTTCCTCGTACAATGTTGATGCATTCGTTTTTTCTCATATATTTACTATTTTCATAGACGAGAATAATACAAATTTTTCGGATACATTTTTATGTAGGCTTCAAAATGTTAAATTGAAGCACTATATCCTAAGTTACACTAAGTAATTGCTAATGACTATTGTAAAACATATGAGTAGTTTACGTGTAGTTGCGTAGTTTTTCTAAAAAGAAAGTCCTATTCAAAATATTAACCCCTGACTGATTTGTTTCGCTTGATATGATGTTGTGTCAATGATGCAATTAATTCCACATTCTTTGCACTTTCGCTGACACTTTATTAATCCACTTTAAGAGGAAGATTATATATCATGTATGTCTTCCCTAAATAATGACATAGAATCAAGTATGTAGGGCAAAGTAATCAAGAATCTTATTGAAATTCATGAATTCATTATTATTCACCTTGTTATTAGTTTCAGATTGTTTTGAATTTCGTGATTGATTTAGAAAACCATTTTTGTCTCAAGAGCTCAAAGACACAATATCATAATAGCAAGTCTCAGTGTATTGGTTAAATTATTTTGATTATAAATACACTGGATTACTTAAATAATGAAGAACTTGAATATTTGGAGAATTTGTCATCCCAATGTAGGAATCCTATACTCTGATGATACAATAAAGATGTGTTTGAATGTTGAAAGTCCAGTAACTTTCAACTGTAATCGATCGTAGTAACATTAGCTAAATGTTTGACTGTTTTACATTATTATTTTTATTATTATTTATTATTGATCCTTTGGGTTCCAAGTGGAACATAGGTCTTCAAAAACACATCTCCACATTCTTCTATTTTCTGTTGTCCTCTTTAGCTAAGTCCACGATTTCCCATATTCTCTCATCTCGTCCTCCCAGAACAATCTCCTCCATATCACCATCGCACTGACGACCCACTTCTCGTCTCCTTTTGGGATTCCACTCGAGGACCTGGCTGTTTTATATGTATGTAGGAATGCTTTTTATTTCTTACAAACTTTCTATTCTTTTCATTAATTTTCCTTTTCTCCTCTTAATAAGTATCCGTTCACAACAGAAAGATGCTACAAATACATATCGAGGAAAAATTCGTAATATCATCATCAGCTATTTCCGTGAAATCATTCCATCAGTTACTCGCATTCATCTTATTTTGAAAGGATTTAACACGTGAATAAATTGTTATTTTAAATCGTTTCACCGAAAAATTTCAAAAAATTTTTTTTCATTCTTTAGATATTCGCATCAGCTGTTACTAAAGCAGAAGGAATATTTACTATGTATCCTCTCTCATTCTGTCTCTCTCTCTCTATTGCTTTCTCTTTTACCTCGATGGTTTCTACTGTTAATGTCATCCGATCGCTTATACATATATTTGGAAGAATATTCATGTACACAAGCAATCAATTAATAAATAATTCTCCAACCACATATGTTTATCTATGCATCGGAAAAGTACTTTTATTCACGGGAGGTATTTTTATTTTCCTTTTAAAGTACACATGATACATTTTTTTTCTTACATATTATTAGAAAGGCAATAATTGTCCTGAAATTGTAGTAAGGCTTTAAATAGCATGTCGTTAATCCCTTCAGGAAGTTTCCTTTCAGCGTATCTCTGCAGTGGAAAGCAAGATATGCATTTCATCATGTCATAGGACTGACCAGCTAGATTTCATTGCATCACAATGGTCTTATCAGGGATACAAAGACTCAGAATCCAACTTTTTTGAACCTTAAACTTTTAAACGATTGGGACACCTATTGTGTGAAGATAACCGTTCATTATTATTTGTTCATATTTTTGTTTACTTAGATTTCTTTTATTGGATTGAGATGACATGTAACTTTTGACTTGTAGACGGTATTAAAATGCAGAATACGAAATTATGTTGAAAATCATTACGATACCGAATAAGTGGCAGTAGTTATTAGTGGAAATAAAGACTATGATTACTGGAATACATATAAATAATTTCGATTAAGACATAGGCTTATATACCTGGAAGTTAGTAAATGTAAGGGCGTCGGTGTCACAGTGGTTAGGACTCTCGCCGACCATGTACATGGTCCGGGGTTCGATCCTCTGTCGACGCACACCTGATATCTATGATCGGCCTGCAAACTTTGGGCTACCGATATCACATGCTGAAAATTTCGTAGTTATATCAAAAATACGGTGTGGAATCAAGCTATAATAAAAAAACGAAATATCCACATATGTCTCTGTATATTTTAAGAAAATATGCCAGGAAAGTTGCTTGGATGTACACCTATATCAAATTATATATAATGAAAAGTGAATCTATTGAAAATAGCTCCTAGTCAAATTAACATTATGCATAGACAAATAATGAGATGAATTCATGTTTTAGGTGATGACTATGGTGGCTATGGCAACAGTTCCGAAATAATGAGATGTTACAGCACTGACTAATTAAGTTATTATATTACTATTATTCCTTTAGGTTCCATTTGGAACATAGGGCTTCAAAAGCGCATCTCTGTCTTGTTTGGTTGGCTCCACGATAGTTCACAGACTCTCATCTCTTCCTCACGTGATCTTTTCCATGTCACCCTCGGACAAAAGTCCAATTCGTCGTTCTCTATTTTCGGATTCCATTCGGGCTGTGGCTTGGCATGAGATATCATCCGGTTGTCTCCTCAGAGTGTGTCCTATCCATCTCTATTTTCTTCAACATATTTACTGACCGACAGGTCCTTGATTGGTTTATTCCTAGAGTTTCTTGTTGCTAATTCTTTCTGACCATCTGATTTCTAGTATGCAACGAAGGCAGTTTTCGATAGGGCCTTCAGTCTTATCACCAAATAACTACCAATGTAGGTTTATTTTGGAAGATTAATTTTTATTTGCAGTGCTTTGCGGATAAGAGAACACCTTGTATCGACTAGAATATGGGCAAATTTCATATATGATGTGATATATGATGTGACAGTCTTAACAAGAATATGGATTGAACTATATTCTTGTGCAAAACATGAACTTATAAACCTCAGTTTTCTGAAGCCTAAAATATATTGATTATTTATCATCAATGATACTCCTAATTGTGGTGAACTGAGTCACGTAAGAGACAGTGGAATGGGGGCGAGAAAACAGGAATACGTTGGACTGATAAGGTGATTCTAGAAGATTTGAACTTTGCGGATGGTTTATGTCCAGTGTCTCATTAACTAGGAAACCTACAGGCAAAAACCAAAAAGGTGGAAGAACACGGAGTGAGAACAGGACTTCAAGTGAACGTAGAGAAGAGAAGGGTGATGAGGGCACCCAACTGATCAACTACAAGCATAAATTAACACCATTGGGAGAAATTCAAAGGAAGTCACAACTTTCACTCATCTAGGCAGCATTGCATGAACTACAAACGTAACGGGTAATGATGTCAACAGTAGAATAGGAAAGGTAAGACAGATTTTCAATAATCTGAAATTAGTGTGGAAATCTACTATATTAAGCATAAAGAACAAGATTTAAATTTTCAACACTGATGCCAAATCAGTTCTTCTGTATGGGTTCAGAGACTTGGCATTTCACGAAAAGCACTTCGAACAGATTGCTGAAGACATTCATCAACAGCTACCTTTGTTGGCTCGACGCTGAAGATCAGATAGCCGGCTAGAAAGATTATAAACAAGGAACTCTGGGGATGAACCAGACAAGAACCTTCGGCCCTAACAAATATTCCAGAGAAAGTGGAGATGGGTAGGATACATACTGAAGAGAGAGAAAACCTCTCTAGTGGAAACCGTATGCAAAACGACCAATTAGGTGTGGTTGTGAGCGTGAAATGGAGGAGATAAGAACTTATGGAAAGCCTTAAAGCCAGCTAAAGACGACTGCAGAATAGAGGACAAAGCGTAGAGTTTCTGTTGCAGCCCTATATTTCACTGATGATCTAAGGGAATAATAACATGTCATAATTCGTAAATATTTAAGCACACTTGATGCGCACTATGAAAACAAGCGAAAATAAGTTTCTTGAACCACTGTATTTCTTATTTTACTGGTTAATTAACTCTCCAACCAACTGACATCACTTTGGTGAAACTTCTTACCGTTTTCTAAATAATTCTATTAGTGCCAATACAAAAGGCTTTATACATAGTTCATCCATTCCCATTGATTTCGACTAAAGTTTGCGAATCCTCTTTTTCCCAATGAAGAATAAATCTTTTTATTAACTAAACATTAGAAAATCTTTGGTGTAGCTTTCTTGTAGTTTTATTTATTTGATCTAAAATATAGATATGGCTTATTACTGATACGATTTTCAGCCAAATTTATTACCCATATTAATATTAAGGTAACCAAAATCACCTACGGTGTTAATTTTCCCACAATTCTAATATTGTCCATTTTTTCGGTGTTGGTTATTGTGAAGATAACGTTAAGCTTTATACCAGTATGCACATGATCTCTTCTGATGAAAATGAATTTTACAAAACATCAGATCTGATCATGATTTTGTCAGTCACTAGTTCTTTATTTAAATACTATTATATAATAGCATTTGTTGTCATATTTGTTTGTTTGGGAATATATATTATAGGCTAACTGTCAGGTGATTAAACAGCTGATTTTAAGAAAACATTCCTGTTTCTATTATCATGTGATGATGAAGTGAATCGGGAGATTAAAGGAAATCTGACGACTCTTTGAACATCAAACCAGGTATTTGAAGAGAAATAGTGAGTCCTGAACTCTAGTCATCATTATCGCATGAAAATACCAATGGAACCTTGTTTGAAGTTACATAATTTCATTAGTTAAGCGTATAAAAGTGTGACTTTAATAAAGGTGTGGCTAATATAGAGATACCAAATTCCTCATAAACATTTCATTACCAAGTCCTTCGTCTTCACTCGGTAGAATCAGTGTCGCTGCCTTCAGACAGTGAAGATTCCATTTCCAGCTGCCTTCGTGGAAGGAAACATACAGAGCTTCTTGTGGGACTTTAAGACTGTCCTGAGTTTTAGAGTATCAGTTATTCTACAAAGAAGATGATCGTGCCGGGGACGCTGCTGAGAGGTCGAGCAAAGGCCGAGTGCGATACTGTGGAGCGACCAGGTAGGAAGGAGACCTGAAAGGTGTTGGTTGGACGGTTGGTGATAGAGTTCGGCAGCCCGGCGGACAGGTAGATGGCGATGCAGCAGTTTTGCTGGATGGAACACTAAAAAGATCCATCTATAGAAAGCCAACGTGGAACAGATAATTCAATAACTTCCATAGTTGGGTGTCCCTATATGCAAAACGAGATCTGATCCATTCACTAAGCCAAATAATTTTCAGCATTTGCAGCCCTGACACTACGGAAGAGAAGCTGAACACTACGGAAAGAGCCCTCTTGGAATATAGTTACCCGCAACGTCTCATAATGAAATCCATTAAAGCTAAGCCACTTAAACTGCCCACACACTAAAAACGTCTCCACTTGAATCTAAAATTCATTGGAGACTCGTCAGCAAAAATAGTGAGAAACCACCACTCCCGCTCACTGAAGCAAACCTTCTTCGCGGCTGAAATTTGAATGACTTTCTGTACAAAACCAAGGATTCGCATGAACGTGAGGGATAAGTTACCACTGTTGGCCTCACCAATGTGCATCTACCAATTCCCCTGCTTGGGTGGCCGTACCCACCTTTTGCTATCTATACGTATCAGCGAAGACTTACTCACAGTTACGGTTTCATAAAGGAAAAGAAAGATCCCCGCAGCTCTATCCTACAACACCTGATCAAATTTGGACACAAAGTGACTTCGAAGTCATCTTCAGAATACGTGGAAATCTCACTAAAAGAGTGCAAATCAAACTTTGTCAAACTTCAGGAGTATTGGCAATGGTGGTTCACATGTTAAGTTTGTTCAGTCATTAAATCGATAATGGACCTGATCTCTTTTAACACCAAATACATAATTTTTGTGTTTTTTTCTCAATTATGTCATTTCCTTCCCCTACCCCCTATTAAATGTCTACCCTTTATTACCACTGTTATTAACTTGACCGTCGTCCAATTTTGGTTGAATTCTACTCAATTCCTTCAATTATATCACATCACTCAACTTATTTAGCTTTCATTCAAGTTTCTACGCGAGTAACGCTTCCTACATTTCGTGATCTGTCATCTAAAATTCACAATTCTAATGACAAATCTTTGGAAATACTCCTTTTGCTGCTAGAAAAATTTACATATTTCTGAAAAGAGTGAAGTTTTTCTCTGTCTACAAGGGACTATTATTTTAACAACCAATGAATTACGGCTTTTCGACCAATGATGATCACACTATGACTATTGCCGCCGATTAAAGCATCCCGTATGTAACGCGATTAGTACAGCCAGTCGATTGCAAATACACATTTCAAGGCATTTAGACCACAGAAGCCAGTCAACCGATTGTAATGCACCTGTAGAAGTATCCAACACATTCAAACAGTCTGAAGCTTTTTCTTTTAAATGACTCAAAGGGAATTTTCAAGTTTTTTTGTAGATTCCATTCAGTAGATGAATAAATTCAAATTTTTTGAAAATAACTCAGCTTTTCGTATTATGTGATATTTTGTGTTTTGCTTCCTGTGTGTCATTCACACTATGTTTGTCCTCAGGAATATGATACAGTTCTGAAGTGCCACACAAGCTATTAGTGGGCATCTTATGACCTAATACACCTTCCAATTACCATTAGCATTGTGGTTCGACTTTCATTAAAAGGTTGTCACTTTGAACAGTTGGTGGGCTACCACTTCTATCTAAACGGTGGCGTGGAATCAAAACAATTTTCTCTTGATTTCATAATATTGAGTTTTATTTAGGAACCAAATACATTCAAGCTATATATGAGTGGAAATAATAGATGGTGGAAGTATCTAGGATGACCTTGGATTGGCAAATTGATTTTGACGATATAAATGATGATTGAAGGTAAGATGAAAATCTCGGTTGAAGTAAGATTTGAACCAGCAATCCTTAGATTACTGGTCGATTAATATTATGTGAATAAGTCTACAACATTCGATACTAGTTCGACAATGGTTAAGGCTGAAATATTGGAAAAGCAGTTGATTCCATGTAAAACTGTCCATTTGAATCTTGACCTTGGCGGCCTGTTCGAATTTTTGGGTCAGCTATTATAATATCTACATATTGCATCCAATCTACCGTTTACTCACATTTATTTATCACCTTAATATGAATCTTAGCGGGATCATTTACTCTGGTAACTTTAATAATCATTTACGACCAAATAACTTTCATATTTCCAAGAAATCAAGGAGGAAGCATCGTAGTGGTTGGCAGAAAGCTCTCAAACGTACACCAATACACTTAACTACGGTCCCTGTCATAATGAACACAAACTGCCGCTCTCTGTCAAACAAGATAATGTACCTACAATCTCTGATGTCCACTGACACTTATCATAATACTGCCATAATTACATTACAAGAAACGTGGTTACATGAAATGTATGATGATAACCTTATCTCACTAAAGGACTTCATTCTATTTAGACAAGACCGTCACTGTTGTAATAAGAAAAATGGTGGTGGCGTTGTAACTTTTATTCACTCCAAATGGTCTATTTCAAATAATGTTTGCTTCTCATTCTCAAATGACTTCATAGACTGTATTACTGTCAAATGTCGTCCCAAACATCTCCCCAAATATAAACATATCTTTGTTACAAACATCTACATTTCTCCCAGTTGCTCACTATCTGATCTTTCAAATTTTTCTGACGAATTCACCATGTTTGCCGCTGCCAACTTCGACAACTCCCCATTTGTTATTACTGGGGATTTCAACTCCTCAGAGTGCTCCTTCCTTGAAGCACTTGGTCATACAAACATAGTCAAATTTCCCACTCGACTTGACGAAACACTCGATTTAGTTTTTACAAATGACGAAAGAGTATATGAAATACTTGAACGTTTCCTTATTAACTCTATTAAAATATTCTTTGTTCTCTCACATTCTGTATATCTCGACCTTTTGTTACCGCTTACGCCAGTAAATATGCTAGCATCTACTTTTCTAACACCTTCAGTCAAACACTCTGTTCAATTTTAGCTTTGCTACCGACATGCCAATATGTTGTTGTCATAATGAACTGAAACTACTTCAATCTAGGTAGAATTTTATTTATTGATAATGTACTAACTGGATGCAATATTGTAGTGCAATGCTGAGAATTTCATTCTGTATCACAAGTACTGTTTTAGAATAAAGCAAATTATTATTATTATTATACTAATATTTCAATGATTGATACCATTTCTGGTAAAAATTTAAATTAGATGCTGTTGTTTAAAATGCCACGGAACTAACCTCGACGCTATTGATCAACGACAGCCACATAATGAATATCATTTAGTTATAAGTTTGTAATTTTTACTTGTTGTTTTTCGTTTGATTGAATGAAGGTGATCAGTTATGTCACGTAGCATCATTTTAACATTAATGTAAGTAAGAAGTTTGAGCACTCTGGAATAGATCAAATAAATTATAATTATATTTCAATTGTTTACATACAATGATAAGTTTTTGGTTTTTTCGTAATATTTCGAGCAAAATTACTGCCCATGATCACGCCAACTTTTGAAATTGTTTTGTTTTTAATTCACACATTTATGATTTGTACTCAAATATATAGTTCATCTTTTTTTTGTGTATTCAGAATTATCATTTTAACACTCAAAGCAGTAGGATGATTTCTCTACAAGAGACATATTAACCATAAATACCTGTCAAATTAGATAAAATTAACCAATAACGAAAGCTCCAAGTACTATGGAGTAACCGAAAGAATGAATTGCTTTGCAGAAAATCATATATTCCTTACATTTTGTCATCACAAACTCTTAATCTTAATAGTTTAAACTGGAGCATGCAAAACCCATTTAAAGGCTGAAAAGTGAAATAGCCACGAAGAAACTTAGACAAAAATTTTTCTATCTAATGGGTGTTAGGATAACTTCAAAAGAAAAAATTAACAGCTTACCTTTTTGAAACATGCAATTAAAATTTTTAATTATTGAAAAAAATTATTGTTTTGCTTTAACTCATGTTAAATTGGGTATAAGCGTATTGTGAGTATACAATATTTTTCAGTTTAGCACTGTCTACGATGTGACAGTGCAAATAATTTAAGTTGTAGGAAATATCTATGAGCAGGTTTATTACAAATTCATTATTCAAGTGATGGTTTGTAGGGATTTGATTGGTTTCAGGATTTCATCATGAGCTGACATTAGTTAGAGAACCGTTGAAAAACCTGGGAGTACTGGACAGCTGTTTCGTCCTAGTCTGGGACTCTTCAGCAGTACGCACCCACCGGGAATCGAACCCAGGACCTTCCGGTTACAAGGCGAGCTCGTATACCATTAAGCCACTGGGACCCGATCCAATGGTCCTTGAATTCTAACTTCTGCCAATTCACGATATAGTGCGACCGCTAGCCAATATCTTCGGCGAGTATTTGTACTCACACCCAACTTGCTGCACCCTACTGGTCACGACGTCCCACTGGATTTAGTGGATTTCAACCACCACTAATTCAATACAAGAAATAATGAAGGGTACATACGAGAAAAGATGACTAATCTGTTTGCATTATTTATAAAAAAAAAGTGCTAGAACCAAATCTTCCTTCCGTATACCCAGGTAATTTCCTCTTCTTGCATACTGTGGTAATTACCACGAACGAAGATAGGATAATGCTGTTTCATTTCTTTACTAAAATGAATTAACTTCAAACTTGCTTCGAATATTAGAGAAAAGATGACGACGCATCATACTACTTCAAGTAGTTCGATTATAATAAAGAAATTTATTCTTCATTCAGTGTCTTAATAAGTAGGCAAATTTGAAGAGAAAAAATTTGTATCTAAAGAGTATACGAATGACTTGTGGATCAGAAATACTCCTCGTCAAATTTACTATAAAAGAGAGAGTATTTCTTTTGAATCTATGAATACTATACAAACGTGTTTGATGAGCACGAATGCAATACCTTCAAGCATCGTGAAAAACAAATAACAAAAATATATAATTAGTATACAATAACCAGTAAATGTAAGTCAGTATTATATCGGAAAGCCTTCTGTAGCACAAGTGGAAGATTAAAAAGAATTCAGTAAGTTTCGATTATCATTTAGATGCATATACAATGTAAGGTCTATAAGAAGAGAAGAGAAGATGAAACTAAGCAAGTCAGTGACATGGTAGGAAGTCACTAGCGAGCATTACAATAATTTTCAAGAGTTGGTTTGCAAGGATTAGATTTATTTCTACGAGTTTGTCCACGGATTGATATCAGTTAGAGAACCAAACCTAGTGTCCCACTGCTTTTTACTCTAGGTATATTTCAGTCTTCCTCTAAATCGTGAACTGATTAGGTTCAGAGTAAAAAAAATGTGTACGGTGTTGTAGAAAGATTGAATTTAAATGAGAAGAAAATGATACCACTGGGTGTAACATCATGATTTACCAACTTCCAACTTTTAAAAATGGTTAACTACATATATGATCAGCTAACGGAATCAAAAATAGACAGGGGAATCTCACTTGTAAAGGTTGGGAAATTATTGTTTAATTTCAGGGTGAATGTTCAGTTTATGTTCAACAATCATTTCTATAGACGAGTTGATAGAGATCCTATGAGTTTGCTTACCAGTCCTGTGCTGGGAGATACCTTCTTGGCAAAATTTCAAAATTGTTTGCTTGAAGAAACGATTAATAGGCTTGAGTATTATTGTTGATATGCTGACTTCAATAAACGAGAGCTTTCGAATACTTTCTATAACGTTCATCCAGATATTCATTTGACGAGTCAAGAAGAAGGAAGTAACAGTATATGCTTCCTAGACGTACTCCTTACCAAGAAAAAGGAATGGGTATTTGAGCGAAGTTTATTTAAAAAGAATGCCTAAACTAGTCGGTGCATCTCTTCTCATATTTTCACACCGATTTAGTAGAAAAGGAATTTCGTTAACTGCCTTAGCTATAGAATAAAACATGATATTCTACTGACCTGATTAATAAAGAAGTGCCTAAATTGAAGCTTGTACTACAAGAAAGTGACTGTGTAGAAAACATCTTGGATAAATGTACATGTAGACACCTAGAGACGGATTAATGATGGATACTGTAGATAAAGGATTATATTTCACGTTAAGTTATAGAATTGATATCACCGCTAATGTTGTAAAATGTTGACTAGAGAGAACTGTCGAGAGAGCATTTCCTTCAATCGAACTGTTACTCTGCTTTTAAACTAAAACATAACTCAAACTCCACTGCATACAATTCACTTTGTGGAACCCAAACTTTTGTTAAAAATATAAATAGATAACCAAGTCAATGACTTGCTTAGTTTCATCTTATCTTCTCTTCTTATAGACCTTACATTGTATATGCATCTAAATGATAATCGAAACTTACTGACTCTCTTTTAGTCTTCCACTTGTACTACAGAAGGCTTTCCGATATAATACTGACTTACATTTACTGGTTATTGTATACTAATTATATATTTTTGTTATTTGTTTTTCACGATGCTTGAAGGTATTGCATTCGTGCTCATCAGACACGTTTGTACAGTATTCATAGATTCAAAAGAAATACTATCTCTTTTATAGTAAATTTGACGAGGAGTATTTCTGATCCACAAGTCATTTGTTTACTAGTTAGGTATAAATTTTCCGTTGACCGTTCTTGTACAATTCGGTTACATATTAAGACACTGAATGAAGAATAAATTTCATTATTATAATTCAACTACTTGAAGTAGTATGACGTGTCGTCATGTTTTCTCTAATATTCGAAGCAAGTTTGAAGTTAATTTATATTAGCAAATGTATAAATTACTAATATTGTTCTCATCAGTATACATCTATGAATTGAACTGCTTATGTGGAGCTAGGTACATGGGTTTCATTCAGAGGTATTTATCTGTGTAGGGGCGTGAACACGTACTTGTATCTTTCAAGTAAAGATGAAGCAGAAGAATAAATAACACCACTTTTTGTCAACCAATCGATAGTGATCATTCAATTAAACTGGAGAAGGCATCCTCAGTGATTTACTGTGTCTCTGTTAATCCAACTAGAGTGGCTTAACTACGTCTATCAGCAGCCGAAACGGTAGCAATCAATACTAGGAGACCTAATTTTTGTATCGGGAAAAACTATGTCCAAACAATTTGTTTACATAGATAAATTATTATTAACAAGCTTTTGATAATGTATCACTTATTTATCAACCATGTGTCAAATAGGTAATTGAAGACTTATAAAAAAAGAGAATAATTTCACAGATACTAAGAGTTTCTTAAGGCAGCTTGAAAACTACCTTCAAACATTTTAGAAATTCGATATTCATTTATTTGGTAGTCATCTATGTAAGCCATAAAATATTGCGTTCGAAGACAAAAAGTGCTATAGATTTTGACAGAAAATATAATATTGTGGATGTGTTTAATGCATAGAATAGTTGGATGTGTATTTTTACCAATTTTTCAATGCAATCAACCAAAATATCGTGTGTATGCTATGATGGTTCAATAAAATTATAATAAATTCAGAACCATAGGTTACTTAAAGTGTAAGTAAAACAATCCAGTAGTTCATTTTCAGTGGTAATGATGAAAGTTTCACAAATAAACCATACAGCTCCGAGATCACAACAACATGGAAATCATCCACCTGAGCTGCAAATCCTCTCCATTATTTCTAGATGATATTTTCAGACTACACAACTAAAAAAGATTTCATATATATGACACGCATGTGACGTAATCTTTTTGAGGAATTCAGATTTACTTCTGTAGCTCACTCAACAAATACTTCAGGATAATTTATTCTCCTCTTTGTTCCCTGACTCCTTATCGTAGAATTTACACTCAGCTTTATGATAGGTGAACTATTCTGTGCATCACAAATAAAAGTAACCATTTTTAGCCACCTCTTCAGGTATCTACTAATTTTCACGCTTTATTGAGGTGAGCTGTACAAAGTGTAGTAAGACAATATTTTTAAAATGCTTATAAGAGCACGTTTTATCAGAATGGACAAAGATCAGGAAAACCCAGTTTTCTTAGATCATTCAGCTAGTTAGTTGGAAAGGAATTTATTGTCGTAGTTTTACTAAATCTCACTAGGTACTTTGTTTTATAAGTTCGTAAAACATGGCGTACATAGCCGTCTATGGAGACACTTTTAATCGTCTGCAACAATACAGAGCTGTCATAATCCTTTATCTCCCCTTTTCAGATAAGTTCATGAGCTTGTATAAAGA